CTAGATCATTCATCCACTGCCCAGAGACAAAAATCAGGTCGAACATGTGTTCCCCATTATGGGTGGGGTCTTGAATTAACTGAGTTAGGTTCAATTGCCGTCATGGAAGCCATGAACTCCTGAGCTGACTCAGATGTCTCGCCAATGGAAGGCAGATTGAAATCCCCCAGGATTTGACAGCCCTGAATGCTTGTTCCTTGCGGCTGCCCCATTTCCAGTTCACTGGCGCGTCCAGAAGACGATGTAAAGGTTCCGCTACGGAAGCCTTATGGGGTAAGAAATTTAGAAATAGAAATTTAATAAACCCAAGAAAGCTTGCAGCTCCGTCTTGTTGTTTGGAGCTGGAGCTTTTTTTATAGCTTCCACTTTGGATGGGGTCGGGTGAATACCTCCGGCGTCAATATGAAATCCGAGGAAATCCACCGACTCCACACCAACATGGCACTTAGTTTTCTTTAATTTCAGACCTGCTTTTCGGAAACAGAAGAAAACTGCTCTTAGTTTAGTGAGTAGTTCCTCCTGATTTTGTGCTGCGATCAACACATCGTCAAAGTATGGTAACACTCCAGGTAACCCATGGAGCAGCCGCTCCATGATGCTCTGGAAAATGCCGAGAGCCACGCAGACTCCAAATTGGAGTCTACAGCAACGAAACGCTCCACGATGAGTAATGATTGTTTGGGCATCTGCCGTTGCGTCGTCTACAGGTAATTGCTGACATGTTGAGCTAGGTCAAGCTTAGCAAAGAGGCGTCCACAACCCAACGAGTGCAGCAGGTGTTGCACTACAGGTACTGGGTAGGGGGTGTGCTTGCAATCCTTTATTAATTGTTGATTTATAATCAGCACAGATCCTTATGGATCCGTCTGATTTAATTGGGATTACGATAGGGGTCTCCTACTTCACATAATCTACTGGTTCTAATATTCCTTGCCTAATTAGCTTATCTAGCTCCACACCCACTTTTTCCTATAGGGCAAAAGGGACGTGCCTAACTTTAAGTCTAATTGGCACTACATTGGGGTCTAAATTAAAAGAAATTGGTGAGCCGTTATATTTACCCTACATTGGGGTCTAAATTAAAAGAAATTGGTGAGCCGTTATATTTACCCAACTCATTGCTAAAAACGTCTTCGAACCCCCGTGTCAGATCTTCAAAACCAGCAGCAATTATAGTGGAATGAAGTCCTGAAATAGAAAACCCCAATGCCTCAAACCAATCTAATACCAATAATGAAGCCAGTGGCCCCTCCACAACTATTAATGGCAACGTGTCCTTAAATTTGCCATGCTCAACTTGAAATTGCCTGCTTCCCACAATTGGAATAGCCCCCTTTTTTTTATAATCTTTTAAAACGCATCTAGTTGAGAACAGAAAGTGTGGGCAGGATTCTTTTGAGGCTGCCCCACGAAATAATGGATCTCGTCGACACGTGTCAATCTTCATTTTACATGGAGATCCCTCATACAGTAGTGAACATCTGGCTGCTGCCTTTCCCTTCAGAAGCTGTGTTGACAGTTTCTTCATCATCGCTGTCACGGTCAATGGCGTTGCAGGTCTCCTTAGCCCAATGTCTGTTGCAGGCAGGTTGGCACGGCACACGTAGGCAAGATGACCGGTCTTATCACAACACCGGCAGGTGGCTGATTTGAATCGGCAATTCAACCGCAGATGGTTCCCTCCGCAACTCAGGCAGCTTGCCTGAGGTGCATTTGAGGTTGGCTTCCATCTGCCATTCGTTGATAACTTAAGGCGCGCCACTTCATCAGCTATTTCCTGCTCATCCTCCTCCTCAGCTGATTGCTGATTAACTATGGCCATTGCCGAGGACGGAATGTGAGTGGCTTGACGTTTTTGAATTACAGCTGCTGACTGGGCGACCTGCTCAGCTGCCTGAGCTTCATCTAAAGCAATGGCCAAGGTTAGCTCTGTTTTACCTAGCAGGCGGCGCTGAAGCCTTAAATCCCTGCTGCTATAAATCAGTTGTTCCAGTAATGCCTCATCGAGATCTGGGAACTCGCAATAAATAGCATCTTGTCTAAGAGCTACCATGAATTGACTGATAGTCTCACTTTCTTTTTGTATACACCGGCGAAATGCGAACCGTCTAGCAAAACCGGACGGTGCCGGTGCGTAATGTCCTTTGAGCTTGACCAGTAGAACTTCCCAAGGCACCGCATGTACGGAGGGCAGATGCCGCCAATGCCCGAGCCATTGAGAACATCTCGAGACCGCATAGACTTAAATAACCCCTTTCTTTCATTCCGTGGTTATTTCTGTCAGATCATGGGCGATGAGGTATGGCCGTCATTTTGCGGATCGTTCTCATACGTTAATTCTGTTAATTAGCGGTTACTCTCAGGATCCCACTCCTTGTCGCCAATGGTAAATACTCGCCTGAGGTAACGCCAGGAGACTACTGTAAGCTATAACCGTTTATTAACGTAACTGACAACAAGCAATCAACGAACGTAACTGACAGCTCTTTTATATGCTAGGTATCAAACTATTAACCAATAGGGAGCCTGCATTGCTTCCGCAAGCCTGCAGCCGAGCCAGAGCCAATGAGCAACTTTTGCCACTTGATTGGCACCTCTTTCTTGAGACCTCAGGACGTAGCATTTCCATTTTGGTCTGAAAATCTTGAGCTAAAGTATGACTAATGTTAATCAGATCTACTATAAATATTATAAACAAGATATTTTTTTAAAAAAAGAATTACCAGTTGGTTCTTAGAGTACTGAAGCTGTTACTCTTAAGTAGGACAGTGCTTGACTTAGCATTTTGTATTCAGAAAAGAAATTTATCTACTCCCCCTATACAAATATATCACACCATATGTTCTGATGGAAGAGACCATTGAATAGTTAACAGTCCCTTTTTCTAAAGAAGTTACTTTGAGTCTGCCATAGAATATTTCTGGATGACTGAAATGTTCTGATACTATTTTCTCTTTTTGTTAAGTCCTGATGTCAAATTTGTGTTTCTTAATTTTTTTAATGAAAAATTTGTTCCAATAATGATTTATTGCTCNAAAATAGGGAGAAGATAAAGTACCCAGGCGACGCACTATTAAATGGAAAAGGAGGGGGGAAGAAGGGGAAAACAGAAAAGAAATATTAAATATATAAGTATATATTCAAGAGCGAGATATAAAGCGGGGGGACATAACTAGGGTAGACTAGCAAAGGTAAGGGAATAAGAAATGATACTAAATTATATTTGGGTTGGCGGAAATACCATCCCAAGGAAACATAATCTGAGGTTTGAAATAAGTACCAACAATAATAGAAAAAGAAAGGGCGAGAAGAGGAGAGAAAGAAAGGAAGACGGGGGAAAGAAGAAAGAGGTAAGGAGAAGAGGATGGAAGGTAGAGAAAGAGCAGAAGAGAGGGTAGGAGGGGGAAGAGGAAGCAGTAGGAGAAAGGGAAGGGAAGAAGAAAGGAGGAGGAGAGAAAGAAGGAAGAAAGTAGAGAAGGGAGGGAGAAAAGAAAGGGAAAACAAGGAGATGTTACAAAAGGAGGAAGGGATGACAAATAAAGCACTCCAAACTGTACATTATAACCTATTAAATGGAATAATAAATGTATAAGAATGTTAAATGTAAAGAAGAAGAACAATTATGTGAATGTATTATTTAAAATGGTATGTAAGAATAAAAAACTAAAAAATTCTTTTGGAAATAAAGAACTCTATCGCCATCTAGTGAAAAGGTAATTGTTATACTATCAAATTACCATTTTGAGATTTTCTGTTAAAACAATATATACAATATATATTGACTATTTATGATTGATATATATCATCAAATTATTGCAAACACATGCCTAAAACAAAAACCTATTATTTTTCATTTTTACAGCAGAAAACACTTTAAAAAACAAAAAAGAAAGAATAAAGGTCAGCATTAAGTTCAGAAAAGTTTCCTGGTCGCAATGATAATATATTATATAACAATTATAATTAATAATTAAACATATTTAAATATGCTGGTTTCACTAGGTGTATTAAGCTATAATTTTCTAAAAAAATATGTCAGTTATAGTTTACATATGCTTTCTAAAGCAAGGCAAGGTTGAACTGTGCCTCCTTTCAAATATCCACACAGGTCTCATCCTCTCCAATAAATACATTTGTGAACACTGTTTATCCTAGTCAGGCTTGATCTGAGAAATAAGCTTTTTTTCTTATATCTATTTCCTATGGCTAAAATGTCATTTATGAAAACACTTACTTAGCATTCTTTACAGAACCAAACGATGTGCCATGGTTAGAAGTAAGTTCAATGCACAGAAATCAATCAGTTAAATGCTCCAAAATACAAATTCAAACAAGTTTCCTGGTAAATACTCGCCTGAGGTAACGCCAGGAGACTACTGTAAGCTATAACCGTTTATTAACGTAACTGACAACGAACAACCAATGAATGTAACTGACACCTCTTTTATATGCTAGCTGTCAAACTATTAACCAATAGAGAGCCTGCATTGCTTCCGCGAGCCTGCAGCCGAGCCAGAGCCAATGAACAACTTTTGCCACTTGATTGGCACCTCTTTCTTGAGACCTCAGGACGTAGCACTCCTTCCCCCCGGATTGTACACACATAGTCTTTGAGGAAGGCAGGCTTCCGTGGAATCCTCTCAGAGCGCTTTAGTTCTTTCTGTCCTACCGGGGAAGGAGTTTATTCCTGAATGTCTTCTGATATTGTCGTCTTCTTGGCCGGAATTTCCAGAGACCCCTCCCCTGCTGGATGACAGGGATCAACAGGTAAGGGCTCCTGTGAGAACGAGACGGGTATTGTAGAAGCGTTGAATCTGGGATGAGAGCAGTCTGGGCGGATGATGGTGTCTTCTGTTTAGTGCGGAATGGTCGAACAACTAGGCGATGTGGGCCTATCAGGTTGTCTTATTAGTGAGTTGCAGCACCAAAGTTGATCTACGTGGCGCCGCCACTGCTGACCATCATCTAACTGGACCCTATAAGAACATGGGCCAGTTATTTGAATTATCTGACCCGGTACACATTTAGGATCCCCTATGCAATTTCTTGTGAATACTCTTTCCCCCATCTCAAAATTACAAGTATGTGTTGAGTACTCTGGAGCAGCATTTGCGTGATAATGCGGGTGTAAACGGTCCAGAATGGTGCGAAAACGCCATCCCACCAATAATTCAGCTGGACTTTTACCAGTTAAGGGGCATGATGTGGAATGCTGGGCCAATAAATATAGATTGATTTTCTGTCCCCATGGACCAGGACCCATATGTTGTAAAGCATCTTTAGTGGAGCAGACTGTTCCGCTCTACCATTGCTGGATGGGTGATAAGGAGCTACCAATGCGTGTCTAATGCCTAATCCTGCTAGGAAAGCTTGGAACACCGCGGAAGTGAATTGAGGGCCGTTATCGGACACTAATGTGTCCGGTAGTTCGTGAGTGGAAAATAGTCTCTGCAATTCTTTAATGGTGGCCTCTAATGTAGTGGTATTCATGGAGGCAATTTCCACACACCTTGAAAATGCATCTACTACAATCAGAAAAGTATGCCCCTGCACTGGCCTTGCGAAATCTATATGAATTCTTGCCCATGGTCCTTGTGGTAACTCCCAGACCCTAGGAGGATCAGCTGAGAGGTTAGGGCGTGATGCTTGACAAGGACAGCATTTGCCCACCCAATTGGCGATTTCTGCATCCAACTTGGACCACCAGACATAGCTACGGCCTAAAGCTTTCATTCTAGCTATGCCCGTATGACCTACATGGAGGCGTTGTAAGATTTGTACCCATAAAGTTGGGGGAACTACCACTCTGTTCCCCCATAAAAGACAGCCTTTTACCTCTGAAAGTTCCAGCCTCTTACTGTATGGCAAGAGCCGCCTCTTACTGTATGGCAAGAACTGATCTGAAAGCTTCCTTGAGGCCAAACCCTGCTGACCCATTCAAGGATTTGAGATAGAATAGGGACAGTTTTAGAATGGCCTGCAATGTCAGTGGTGGAGAGCGGTAATTCCAGGTCCTTAATCAAAAGGACTGATAACACTAAGAGCTGGATCTTGGGCCTCCTGAGGCAAAGGGCAGTGACTTAAGGCATCAGCATGCCCCATGTGCTTCCCTGGTCTATATTCCAACTGATAGCTATATGCAGGAAGGAATTCAGTCCATCGTGACATACGAGGTGACAGGATTGTAGGAGATGGCTTATCTCCTGCAAGTATGCCAAGTAAGGGTTTATGGTCCATTTGCAGCACAAAATAATGACCATACAGGTAGTGGCGGAATCTTTTGATTCCAGCCACCGCTACCAGTGCCTCCTTGTCCAACTGGCTGCAATTCCTTTCAGTCTTGGACAAGGAAAGGGAGAAAGGGCCGCCTAAAAGGGGTGTAACATGGGAGCACCTAGGTGCCCCCATGATAACCCGCGCAGCCGCATTCTGGACCAGT